GCGTCTCACTGCTGCGAGCTGCTAAACGACTGAAAAGCTTCAATTTTGCCAAGGTAAGGTAAATTCCTCGGTAGGTTCACGGTTCAAGTGGAAAAAGTGAAAAGTTGAGGTGAATAAATTTTGGAAAAGGGAATTCGGAAATTTCCGATTCACGAGTTTAGCAGCTTATGAGCTAGCTTGCCAAGCAGTATGTGCAAGCCATAAACAGGGCACTTTGCATAGTGCAATGGTTGAATTCATAAATTTTATATTAAATTGGGCTGTTTATGAAGCTTTGTAATTTGTATTTTCAGAATTAACTCTTCGAAATTATATTTTTAAGGATTCCTATTCGTTTACCGTACCACCTGGTGAGACGCTGATCGGCATGCTGGAATTGATCGGTGCTGAGAATCACACGATCCAGTACGGTATCGCTGAAGGCGGCCAAGGAGCGGTGAGCATCGACGAAAACGGTGTGCTGTACCATCAACGTGAGCCGGAGAAGGAATCGAGGAATTTCACAGTTTTGGTGGGTTTTTAATCATACCAGGAAACCTTAAAATCCCGAGAGCCTGACAATTTGTAGCCATTTTAGTACAAGAAGACAGTTAGCGCAATGAATGAGCCACTTTTCCACTCCTTCAGCTTTGCGAACTGTCCCAATCGTGTGGCGGATACGCGTGCGAAGGCGATGCGGCTGAGCAACTCGCAGTAATCCGCGCAGAAAATTCCTCCTACACACAGAAAGCTCAGCTAGCGCTCCCTTTCACCTTTCACTGGTTACGCAACTGATTCGCAAAAGCATGGGTAAGGTGGAGTACTTGAACTTCCGATCAAGGGTAAAAACGACTATTAGGGAACGACTTCGAGCAATTCGGTTATTGAGTCCCTCTGAGAACGAAGATATTCTAGATTTCAGAGGCTTCCTTTTTGTTGTAAGGGTGGGTCTTCATTTATTCTGCTTTTGAGCAACCGGTTTATTTCACTAATTTATAGGTGAGCGCTCGTTCGAATGATGGTCAGTATCTTGTGACGACGACGTGGGTCGAAATAGCAGTGGAAGGCCTGCACTCGAACCCGCTGATGGTCAAGGGACCTCTTGAACGATTGGCTGTGATGAATGCAAGTGAGTTCCACTCAAGCGAATATTAGTGGGTATAGCTGCACTGAAGGCAGCAGGTGCAATGGCTGGGAGGCGGAACTAATTTTGAGGCGATAATTTTGAGGCGCGTTGTGGTTATCGCCAGGGATGCAGTCGTACCGCAGGAAGGCAGCTTGCAGAGAAAAACAGCAGGATTTCCAGGGTGGCTTAGAGATCGATCAACACACAGAAAATCTGCTGATTATCGAGCAGTTGTTCTGGGAAGTAAAAGGGAAAGAAAAACTGTAAAGAATTTTCCCTACTGAGCTTCTTGAAAACTGGTTTCTACGGTATTTCTCTAACAGTTTATCTGAAGAATCGAAGAAACTAAACGGTTGACAAAAATGGAAAACTGATCACTAAAGCTTCTTTTTCCCTTTCCAGGCACAAAACGCGGCTCTAAGCTGTCCACGATCGTGCTGAGTGACGACGATGAGGACGCTACCGTGCAAATGTCGATCAGTGCAATCTCGGGCGTTTACCTGAACGGAAGTGCAGCCGTTGGGCTACAACCAGATATGTTCCGAGTACAGATGAATGGCCAGAAAGCTGAATTGAGCCTCAACGAGCCAATCGTCGACTTGCCGCTTGCATCGCTTACTCTCGAACTCAGCGCGCAGGATCTCGCCCACACAAATGAGCCCGTGGTCAAAGGTACCTTTATATGGTTTTTTTTTGTGGAGCTTCACCCGAATATGATGTGTGCCAAAACTGAGCTACAGGTGTGTGGCAACGCGACCACGCACATGGTCCAGGGCTCGTGGTTTTGGGTCTTAGCCGTTTTTGGCCTTCCATCACCTCGGGTGGATGGGCTATATGACTAACTTGGTCTTGTAGGGGAAAACTGCCATGGCAGGTGTAACAATCCCCATAGATCATGTAAGAGCCGAACACTCAAACAAAAGCTCCTCCAATCTGAAAGGAAGTCAAATTTGGGGTACACTTAGTAAATAGGATCGATCAACCCCAACGATAAGTGCTCGGTCCAGTTACAGTAATTTTTACGTCCTAAAGTTTGCAATTGCTGTACATTACGCTCTAAGTCGTACTAAGGTTTGGAAGCTATTATCTTTTCATGAAGTCAATAGTTCATTTCCCAATAACTCGGGCTCAACAAAGTCCATCAGACAGTCTGAAAGGCTGCAGAGGATCGATTTAATAGGCTAATTCTACTGCCATATCTGCTTGCTTCTTGAGTCAGCTCTCGGAGTTTTATGATTACCGTCACAAGGTATTTCGAATTGCCATAATTTACTTCTAAGTGTATAAGGATTGAGACAGCTCATTATCTTGCTATTTGAAGCAATGTTCAACTATCAAATAAAGTCGGGCGCTCAATCAAAGATCATCACAAACAGTTCTCAAAGGCATGCAGACGATCGTAAGTTATATAAAGCTAAATCTAGTTGCCTTATCAGCTTTTATTCGTTTGAGTCAGCTTCACCTAGGAGGACTCGAAGCCACCCGGACCAACAATTGTTTCAACCATAATTTTACATTTAATTGGCGTGTGTGACAAGCACAAGACGTTCTTCATAGCAAAGCGCTTCAAGCGCTAATTTGAATCTGAATATTCGAATTCATTTCAGTCATTCAACATGTGATTATTTTACGAGATCATCCACTGATCGCTACAAAACCTCTTCCATTTGAGTTCATAAAGGTACATATTTCAGGCTTTTCTCCCCAAGTTATTTTTCCATTTGTTTCTTCACCCCAATTGAATTTTAATGTCACTAATCGATTTAGGTTCCAAAAGTGATCGAGATTTCCTGGCGACGCAGATATCAATTCGGTCGTCTACAGGCCGATTTTACTACAGAGCGTTATTTCGAACTCAACCGTGTTCAGCTACAAAATCGATTCATCTTCTGATGCCTTCAAAATCGATAACGTCACAGGTGCGGTGTGTCGTTAACTTTCCAGAAACTGCGGAGAAAGCCCCGGGTAGAGCTTCACAGGGTGTGCTCAATGTTGTGCTGAAAGAAGTGGAAAAAACGCTTTCTTGTCCCACATGAATACTGGGTTATGGACGGAACTTTCCCCCCAGGTGGGACTCGAACCTAGCGCACTTGTCCGGCAAGTGAGAGGTGCGGGTTGAAAATTAAGGCGAACAGCGGCCAAAAACAGCAGTGAATTATCAAAAACTTCCCCCCCCCGCTCTTCCTTCCCTTCCTCTGTATGTAAATCATGCATATGGCAGTTATATAGGAGTTTATGTCATTAGTTCTGAATTCTATTTCGATTTTTACCTACTTCAGGCGTAATAACAACAACTCGAAAGTTCAACGAATCATCTGAGGCCCTGATAACAATCACCGCCATGGACTCAGTGGCAGAACGAAGTGCACAAGTGAATCTTACGGTATCCGTCACAGCACCCACTGTCCACAGGATCGCGTTTATGGAACGGCAATACTCGGGTAGCGTGAAGAAGACCGACCCACTAGGTGAGTTTGATATACAAGCAGCAACATGACTGAGAAATGTGCGAGAAAACCTGGTATAAAAACGGGTCAGGAAAGAGCTTTTCTCCAGTCGCCTGTAACCTTCTAGATGAGGAACGCCTCTATCGATGCCATTGAGGATGCAGTATTGGCATGCACAAGCAAGCCATTGTAGAGCCTCTCCAGCTCAAGGAAAAACCCCAAATCTGTTCTATAGAGAATTTATATGAGCTTCTCCAGACATCCTCATCCAATTCAACTCCGAAGAACGGTCAACAAAAAGTCGTAGGCGCCTCGAGTCCAAATGAATACTTTGTTACTCAAGGCAGCTTTGTTTTGAGCAGCCAAACCCGGTCCATCCAAGTTGTCCATTTCTTATTTTTCTAGTTGATTATTTAATTCTTTATTTTGCTTACTCATCGAGTCGAAATGTTGAAATGATTTTTGTCTCGTTTCAGCACGCTGGGAAGTGAAAGCAAGAAAATGCTTTCAAACAAAAACAATAGAAAAACCTTGGGACCACTACAGAATGAGAACAAAATCGCAAGAATCAGTATGTATAAAATTGAGTTACCTTTTCAGGGACAACAGTTGCAGCGGTGACAGCAAAAACCGATCGCGGTGATGTCGTGAGGACTTATGGCCTCGAAGGTGCTGATGCCATGTTCTTCACCATAGACAATCAGGTAAAAGGGAAATCATTCAGACTGGGTAACTTTTCTGGGGCTTTTCCGAGTGAAATCACAAACGACAGTCTCCTGAATGGTTTTGATACTCATCATGAAGTTGTCATGTGAAAATCTCTCAGAAGAGTACACTTAACTTACTAACGATGCCTAGCTTCTATGAAGACAGAACTTGAAGATTACTGTGAGATAGTTTCGAATGGATGATATTCTAGGGTGCAATTCGGCTGAAGGACTCGATTCGCAAGTGTCCCCCGGCCCGAACTGAACTTTGTCGCGAGAGCTGGAGATTCTCGGATTTCAACCACAGTGCCGGTATGTGTGGAAGGGAAAGCTCTGAGAAAAATTCATGCAGGAAATTTTTTCAGGTCCATATTACGGTATCGACGTTGGACGAGAACGCCGAACTGATGTTCGAAAAGAGCTCATATGAAGTGAAAGTGATGGAAAATCTGCCTGTGAATGGATATGTGCTGCACCCGAAGGGGTCATCTTGATCTTAGGCTTTTCAAGAAACACTTTTTTAATAAATGAGAACATTTTGTGCTGCAGCGATGGATGCTAATTCGAGTGATTGGATATCTAGAGATACCCTGAAATGATGCCATAAAAACCTGCGATATGACTCGGAACGAATCGTGACAAAAAGCATGAGTGCAAGTGGACATTCGCACAGAATACAATATCTGCGAAAGCGCTAAATTGAAGCCCAAGCAGTAGCCACCTTCTCTGCTATCGCTGCTCTCTTCCTTCTATTTCTCAACGTCGCTTCATGTCGCGCGCGTCGCCGATGGTAGCTTGACATTAGTTGTGTTTGTTGTCGTTCACGTCCTCCTCTACCTGATCTGTTTACACTTAATTTCGATCTCGTCTATTAAGGGAGAGGGACTGTGGTAGCATTTCACATCGCTTGAAGTGATCTTCACGCACCTTAGCTTATATCCCTATGCAAAAATTGGGACTTCTGAATATCGCACAGCGAATTTTGGTGGTAATTTGAAAAAGTAAGCATGAGGTGGTCGAAATCAGAGAATTTTCCTTACAGAACTACCCCTCTCCTCGTTCGACGTAGTGGGCGGAGTGGTGCTGTGTCGACTGGTCTCAGAATCAATACTAGAAACATACATATACATATAATACTAGAAACAGCCAGTAAGGGTTGTTCGGGGACCGGAAAGGGGGTCGTATATTTGGTGCCCGTGAAGCTGATGGTGGTGGTCATAGGATGTATCGAGACCCTCCAAAGGTCAGCTACATAAGTGGATCCGCTACGAATCAATCTGGCTCTATGTCTGCGTCAGATTCGTCCCTTTACTCCCTCGTCTCCTCGACGTCCGTTTTCTCTCTGTATTGGATCGTTATCACTATTAAACAAGATTCATTTCCTGTATATAAGAACTTGCCTATGCTTTTGACCTTACCTTTTTCTCTTCAGGATATGCCGGGACGCACGACTTTCAAATTCGTGCTACTAAAGGCGAACGTCGTGCATCGACTGATGTGAGGATGCATATTTTGGCTGCTTACAAATGTGTTCCGATGTTTTTGGGCGAGGACAACATCGAATTCACCATCAAAGAGGTCAAGCTTGGCTAGTTGTATCAGTATTTTCACTACCTGTACCTGCCTCGGGAAAGCAATTTCCTCCACAGAAGGCGTGAGGAGCAATTTTCATAACTAACATACTACTGATTTCAGAACAGCCCCGCCGGTACTGAGATCGGTACCGTATCGGCTGCGAAACTCGATAGCAAATGTGAGCTGAAATATCATCTATGGGACCCACACACATACAAGTACACCAACCAGACGGATATCGCCTCTATCGACGTCACCAACGGTCAAGTTCGAACTCGAGTGTCGTTCGATTACGAAGAGATGTCAATCTATCCGGTACGCTTGCTTCAAACATTTCACTGACCTGTTGCCATAGTTCCCGTAGAATTCCGATAAGCTCGAGCTTAGTTAAGCAGATAGCACCTAAAGAAGAAAGGCAGCTATTCCGAGAGGCTGCCCCTGTCAAAGGTTCCGTAAAAATGGGTTTTTCATGTTGTTTTCACGTTTTGTTTCCCTACGCTATAACTGTGGGCTCTTGTTGAGTCTGTAACTGAGTCGGCAGCAGTGTCTTGATGCCGGGGAGGCGACCTTGTGCTTTGCTCGAGGATGAAGGATTGTCTCTGTTGGAATGGGCTGCGAATCGGAAGATTTTTATTAAGGGGAACCAGGAGGGCTTACATA